GAAAGAGGGGAGAGAGAGAGAGAGAGAGAGAGAGAGAGAGAGAGAGAGAGAGAGAGAGATGAATTCTAATGGAAAAAGCAAGCAAAAGGAGACTTGGAAAGGGCCAAAGTGCGGATCTGAAAGGCATAGAGGTTTGTTTTCTTAGTATCTGAAAACTGGCTGGGAGGAGAAGGAGGAGATGGCTGTATGAAATAAATTTGGCAAGCTATTTTTGGATTTTTAAAATAAATTAAGAGTCCTATGAGACAACCTGTAGGAGAATTGACACAATCCATTAATTAATTGAGAAGTGTAAAAAAAGCCTGTCTGATGAAAGAGCTCCCTGACACAACACACATTTATCTGAATTATGCTTGTGATAATTGCTGTTAGCTGCCCAGAATCTGTAGGTCATCTGAGCAGCCATATGGATTTTATAAACAAATAAATAAATGACAAAAGAGAAGGAGTTTGGATACTTATTTTCAGGAAGGGTTGCCCTTTCCAAGTCTCCTTTGCTTGCTTTTTCCATTAGAATTCATCTCTCTCTTTTTGGGGCAGCTAGCAATTTAACAGATGAAGCTTTGGCAGATCTAAGGGAAAGCTTTTGATGCCTGCATTCTGGTAGGCTGCTAGCCTCTGTTGCTAGAATAGTTTGGTGCTGTAAATACCTAAGAAAAATTCTTTAAACACAGTGGAGCTTCATTCTTCTGAGTAAATATGCATAAGGCAGGGTTGTGAGGCCTTCTTCATGCTACTAAATTAAAACCAAGACAAGTGTTATCCTTTGCAATGCGGTGTGCAATGTTCAAAGTCCATATTCATGCTAGTTAATTGGTTAACTGATTGCAAAAGTCAACATGAAATATACCAGATTGTATGGATTGTACTTTGGAGTGGAGTCAACAACTGGAAACCTCTAGATTAAATCCAATTTTTGCTAATGCAATACTTAAAAAATGGGGTTGGGAGGAAATTCCATTTGTAGGACTAGTTTTGCCAGCAGGCTACAGAAAGGAGAATTCAGGACTTGGCTCTTATTTTTCCATTCATGCTTAAAAAGATTCTCCAAGAAACTGCAGTACAGAACAGCAAGTCTTTTTAAAACTTTCCCTTTCTTCCCCCTGCATCTCTTGTCAATTTGATTCCTATTTCTCACTTGGAGTGGTTTGTTAATGGAGATAAGCTGCCATATAAAAGACATACACACACACAAGCACACAAGGGCCAGTTGCGTAGGACTGTTATTATGAATCTAATTTTTACACTCTACAAATTTAACCACACGTGGGAGACTTTCTTGGCAGTGGTGGGGAGATTAATGTTAAGTTTTCTCTGTTCCTCTGAAGTTACTTCGGGCCCTTTCAGGAGTTAACTTTCGGAAATCAATGCATAAATGGTCATCAGGCCATTACTTCAATTGTTTTACAGTACACTTTTCTAGGTCATTGTGTGGTCAGTGTTGACTCCTGGTGACTGCCTGGACGAGTCTCTGCAGTTTTCTTGGCAAGGTTTTTCAGAAGTGGCTTGCCATTGCCTGCTTCCTAGGGCTGAGAGAGTGACTGGCCCAAGGCCACCCAGCTGGCTTTGTGTCTCAAGTGGGACTAGAGCTCACGGTCTCCCAGTTTCTAGCTTGGTACCTTAACCACTACACCAAACTGGCTCTGGGTCATCTTTCTGGGTCATTAGCAAGCCACAAAGTTGTTGCCATGTTTGAACAAAGAGATACGCATATTTGTGCTGATTGCCAGTTTTAATTCATGTTAACTTTTGTTACACATTCCTACAGTAATTAGATGGGTCAAACTTCTGGTTTTCATACTTATGTAAACTCACTAAGCAGAATTTGATTACTCAGTACTCTGCTGGCATTTCAGCTCCTTTGCAGAACTCCTACTACAGAGTTCCTTCACCTATTCAGGGTTTGGGAAGCCCTCTCTCTCGCTGACAGCTTTATAGTATTCAGCTTATGCACAGAGAGAGAGAGATCTGGAAAGTAGTGGTGATTTGACATTGGCATCTGTTATAAAAGGGAAAACAGCTGAGTTACTGTGTTAAAGCCACAGTATTAGACTTGGATTTTCCCAAGATTGATTTTGGCAGCTTTACAGGTAGTCCTCAACTTATGACCATTTGTTCAGTGACTGTTCGAAGTTACCATAGCACTGAAAAAAGTGTCTTATGACCGATCTTGAAGTTATGACTGTTGTAGCACCCCTGCGGTCACACAATCAAAATTTGGGTGCACTTATGACCACAGGGGCACTTCAACTCCCCCTGCCTATCTTCCCCCCATCTCTGCCCTTTTCGCTGCCCTGCACCCTGCCTTGCGGGGCAGCAAGGAGCCTCAGAACCAAACAGCTCTGGGGCTGCTTGCCATGCCCCAGAAAGTCATAGCTGCCCCAGCCCAGTCCCAACTGCAGTCACCCTCACCATCCTGCAATTTGAGACCCCTGCCGCCTTGCACTCTGCCACCCCAGCTCATCTTGTCTTATTGCTTCCGCTGCTGATGAGGCATGCCCTGCCTGGCCCTTTGCATCAAGAAGCCCCTTTGCATGAAGCCAGCAAAAGCAAGCCCCTTTGCAAGTGGTTTCTCTAGTGAGGAAGAGGTTTTGCCCAGTGGGAAAGGGTCAGGGGTTGGTTCAGGGAGCCTTGTGTAGGAATCATTCGCTGGAGAAACCACTTGCAAAGGGGCTTGCTTTTGCCAGCTTCACACAAAGGGGTGGTAGTAGTAGTAGTAGTCGTCGTCGTCATCGTCATCGTCATCATCATCATCTGGCAAAAGCAAGCTCAGGAAGCAGCATGTAGGAAAAGTCCAAAAAGGAGACCTCAAAGGCAGCGAGGCACTTCTGCTGTGGGCTGGGCGCAAAAGGTGAAAGGTCGGTGTGGGGAACTGAGAGAGAAGGCAGCTGGGTGAACAAATGCTTCCTGAGGCAGCTTGGGGTGGCTGTGCTGGGGCAGCTGCAGCTTCCTTGGTAGCTTGGCGTGGCTGGGCTGAGGTGGCTGCAGCTTTGTGCTGTGCTGCAGCTCAGGGGCTTGTTGCAGCCCCAGAACTGTGCGTTTCTGGGGCTACTTGCTGCCCCGCAAGGCGGGGTATAGGGCGGCCAAAAGGGCAGAGAGACATGGGGAAGATAGTTGGAGGAGCTGAAGGCAGTCCCTTACCTTACTGAGGCTTAGGGCTGGGGGGGACCAAGCCTGGAATGGCTTGGATTGGGGTGGGTCCTAGGATAATCACCAGTGAAATTTGCTTCACAATGGCAAGGAGAATTGCCAGGATTGTGGTCACTAAGCGATGCAGTCACATGATATCTCATTTTACAACCGCATCACTTACTGACAGAAATTCTGCTCCCAATTGTGGTTGTTAGTCGAGGACTACCTGTACTTCTTTGAACCAAGGGAGTTTCAGAATGGCACGATTTCTCTTGGTTTCTGCCCAAATTCACCCTGGGTACGCTTTCTCTTTCATCCTTCACCTTGCAAGTAGGTGAACAATCTCTTTCGATATTATGGTGATTTACTAAAAGTCTGTTATAAATGCTTCTCCTTATTTATTTCAGAAAGCCTTGTAAACCTGGCTGTTTTCCCAGGCATAGGGACCAGGAGAATAATCAAGCCCATGCCATTGGAGAATAGTGTGTACAGGAGCCACTGTCTGTTAGTTACGTTGAGTAGTCGGGTTATTTATTTATTTTAATATGCATTGTATTTATATGGTATTTCAATTCTTGTTAGCTGCCCAGAGTCACAGTGGTGAGATGGGCAACCATATAGATGTAAATAAATAATTATTTCCTTGCTATCTGACTCCAAAAAACTCATATTAGGACAATGCCATGCCTAGAAATGCTTTACTCTAAAATGGTGGGAGGCTACTGGAAACTTCCTGAAAAATTCATGCTCAGCAAAAAAGCCTGGATTGTTAATCTATACAAATAATGTCCTTTTATTCAGCACCTCTAATAGCAGGGTGGATTCCTGAACTGTCAGCTTGGAAACTTTTTTTATATATATCTATACAATTTTTATTAAACATTACAATCAAAAAATAAAAGCTAATACAAACTAAAAAAATAAAAGAATAAAAAGAAAAAATAGAAGTGCAGAAAAGAAGAAAAAATAGAAATAAAAATAGAAAAGAAAGAAAAATAAGAATATAGTAAAGAAAAAGAAAAGAAATATATAAAGAAATTAATAAAAGCTAATACAAACTAAAAAAATAAAAGAATAAAAAGAAAAAATAGAAGTGCAGAAAAGAAGAAAAAATAGAAATAAAAATAGAAAAGAAAGAAAAATAAGAATATAGTAAAGAAAAAGAAAAGAAATATATAAAGAAATTACTTCCCCCTTCATCCTAACAAGTATAAACAATTTTAGTAACTGTATCTTAAAATACAACAAATGATCTCTTCTTCCCATGTCTCGTCTCTTATCTATGAACCAAACCTAAAAACTCATTCAGTCCTGATCAGCACAAGTCCATTAAGGGTTTATCAGAGATAACAACATATCTATTTCAACCTTTTAACTTTATATTCCTTCCTTTTGCTTTTAACAATCTTGATCTTTTATCCCTTCAAATGATGTTCTAGAACTTGATTTCTTTTCATTTTTTTCTTTGCCCCTTCTCACAGAATCCTTCAAAACTTTAACAAGCCTCTTTTGTAAATCCAATATAGGAAAGTTATCCAGGTCACACTTTTGGTTTGTTATTTGTATATCCCTTTTAATTATTAAGACATCAGCCCGTTTCATTTGTATATGTAATGTAGCATCTTTTTCCATATCATTCTTGTAGCCTGTCATGTTTAAATCCACTTTCAAATCAGTCTGTCTTGCCCGTAAAACTTGTTCCTTTTTGATAACATCTTTTAAACACAGTCTGTCTATTAATTGCAGACACTCTTAAAATTAACTTCTGAGTTCATTGTTCACAAATATCTTTCAGTACATCCAATGTTAAAGTATTTTGCTCCATTCTGTATTAGTAAGTCAAATATACTGTGTTCTTCTCTTTTAATTGTAATCTTTAGTTCCTTCTGGCTCCCTCTAGTGTCCAACTGTCAAAGTCCCATCTATCTTTTTTTTTTTTAAGAATTCAAACAACAGCATTTTCTCATGGGAAAGATTCTTATGATTAATTTCAAAATCTTATTTCAAATCCATCTGGACCCTTAATCTGTTTGTAACTTTCCAAAATCACCCTTTTACTGTTTATTTCAAGAGAGAGAGAGAGAGAGAGAGTTTCTTTAAGTACTTAAACTTGTATTTAAAACTTATTTTGCTAAGGATTGAAGGAAACACACTGAGTGCTATAAAACTTGTTGCTCCAAAGGATCCTAATAGTTGAAAAGCAATTAAAAGGTAGTTCCAAAAGTGATTAAGAAATTAGGCTTGGCAAATCTTGTGTCCATATAGGCTGCATTATGTCTGTGAGCTTGATTGAAATCCCTCAACTCCCAGCCGCTTGACTCACAAGTCAATCACAAAAACCTCAATCCTGCAGTCTACTCATGAGGAGCAGCTGTCTGGAGTACAAGTGGGCAATCTCACAATCTCTTCTTTTTCTGGAGAGACTTCAGTGGACTGTCTGGCCACTGATCTCCATCACCATACTGTCCCCGTTCCTTCAGGGATGTCTAGTTTGCCATGAATCCCATGATTTATAGCTTGGAATCTTTGAGCAGGTCATCTACCTTTAAAGACTAAATATTCACAAGGGATAATTTGGAATACAGCTTTTCTTGCAACCTGATGAACTGTCAGCCCTTCACCAATTGGTGGTTTTGCTTAGGTCTCAGTATGGCATTCAGATGATCCCAGATACATTTATTCAGCATGTGTATGGATGGGTGGGTGCTGGCCTGTGTGCGCTCATCCAGTGAACTTCCACCCAGTGGCTATATCCATTATCAAAGTCATTTTGCATGTGTTGGGTATATGGTGAAAAAAAGTGGACAGGTTTGTGGATGGCTTTATGGTCTTCAATCTCATTTTCCTTGAGTGCATGATGGTGGGGGATAACCTGGACCCCTCCAGTTAATCAGAGCACAATTGTGTGCCCTCCATACCCATTTCTTGAATTGGGAGGTTATTAGACATTCCCTTAATATTTGCTTGCACGATGTAAGACAATTTACCTCTTGATTTATCCACATCAAGCAGTTCTTTAAAGAACAAGAATACAACTCTGCTGCTTTTTCTGATTAGTTGGCAACTCTGTTATTGATTAGCTAGCCTCACCAGGCAATGGCATTTAGGTAATTTTAGTTACCTGAAAGCTAAAGAGAGAAAAGATTGATTAGCAATTCAATAAGAGACCACCTTGGAAGATCATTGATTTAGACTAAAAAGGGAGATTGAAATTATATCCTGGAAGAAAGCAATAGCAAGCCATTTCTTTATTGTAGCAAGACAACTGCATGAATGTGTCCATGTAATTTGCCTGGAATGAAGCTGAGCTGGACTTAAAGGCAGGAAGGCTGGTGAATATTTTTTTCTATCAGCTGCATGACAGCATGAAATCCAGCTGATACAACTTTTCTTTGTGTGAAAGAAATTATTCCTTCTGAATGGTCTATCTGTTGCACAGCTGAAGAATGACCAGCTGATAGATGACCTTCTTTAGGCAGCTCTAAATCCAGGTTAATCATTTGCACTATCAGTTCTTTTTGAAAATTGTTGCAAAATTTAGTCCACAAATTAATTCTTACTCCTCTGCCCTTGAAGACAGAAATGGTATGACTAAGCATATTTTAACAACTCAGTTAAATTTAAAAAAAAAAAAAAGCGCTGTTGTAGGCAGGAAGGACTTTAGACTCTTTACTGATTTTGGGTCATTTCTCAGAGCGATTACACAGCAGAGAAGTTGCATCTGGTGAGTGCTTTTAATGGCTTCTTCTGTGCCTGCTATAATAAGCAGCGTATCTGCATGGACATTCCATGCTAGATTCACCTGGCAGTGACTGCAGGTAAATTAACTCACTGCAATGGATACTATTATATTAGATACTTTTTCTGATTATACTTTTTATTCTGAAATTGCCTAGAGCCTTGAGGCTGTCTGGAGTTGGTGGATTTTTTGAGATGTATCTAATCTGAAATAAATAATCTGGAGTTGGATGAGATGTATTGGATTAAAACTGAGCCACAATGAATTGGAGCCATAATTGGGGTTGTAGGTTTTTTAACTCTATAATTATCAAGCTAGATACTGATACTTCAGAAAGGTTTGGATTCTCTAAAGTCATTCTTCTCAAATGGGTTGTAGTTTTTTTTAGCAAGGCTTCTGCATTTTTAAAGAGGGGCTGGCAAGTAGAAAAAAAGTTTTCCAGCTACTGGGATTCAACAGCATTGAGGAAAATTAGATCTGCTGAATTCTGCTTCAGATGGGAACCAACCATTAAGTGACAGCTTAGTATTCTTAAGAGCTCCTTGAAGAAGACCAACCCAGAAGTCTAGCTCAGTGAGCGCTATGGACTATATTTGGTTGTTTCTGTGCTGAAAGGAGTTACTTCTTGATTCATGATGGTTCCTCTCCCCCTTCTACTTTAGGACATCTGCAAAGTCCGTTTTCCTACTGGGCTGGGCTTGAGAGGTCAGAAGAATTTCCAGAAAATGGCAGGGAAACCCAAACTGCACTACACTCGAGGAAGAGGAAAAATGGAATCCATCCGCTGGCTACTTGCAGCAGCTGGTGTAGAGGTCTGCTTTATCTTGCTTGCTGCAGGCATGTGGCATGAACTCAGCTCATGTTCAGGCTCGCATCTAAAAAGGATCTTCTAATACTAGCATCAGATGATTCACACTTGAAACAGATTCTTCATAAAATGAATGGGTTTATACACCCACAGGCGCAGGAATCAAAGCACTCAAAGAATATTTTTCCCCTTGGGGAACAGGGCTCCCTTTTCTGTCTCTTGTGAGTTTAAACAGATTTTTCAAAGTTTTAGGGAGGCTCTGGATTGGTGTGCTTAAAGCATCTGAGGTGCAAAAAAAAAAAGAGATGATATGGAATGCCAGTTTTGGGAAGACAGACATACAGTACCTGTTTGGACAATGAAATCAGAACCCAGGTGGGGGATTAGAGTGATTCCAGGTCAAAGCCATATTTTGCAGTGGAATTCAAAACAAAGCTGATTTCCTTTGGGTTATTTTACTATATGGAGAGAATTAAGCCAGTTCCACAGAACCACTGAGCATGGATCTATCCTTCAAAACCAGCTCTCCAAGGCTGGGGATGCTGATCCCTGGCCTCAGAGACCTGCCTTTGAAAGATGATCCCCATGTTCATGAGCTGGTTGGCCAAGCCAGTTTTGCAACTCCACAGAGTAACAGATGAGAGGGCTTTACACAATAATATATATATTAAAAATGAGCTGGAATGCTGCAAAAATTACAGCTGCCAGCATTACTGTTGTTTCCAAGACTGCCTCTGGGCCCAGGGCTTGTTTTTCTCACTCTACCTGTCCAGAGAAGGACAAGATGTAAGCAGGGGTGATAAGGAGGGGGTAGCAGGTAATATGAGAGACAATTTGGTGTAGTGGTGAAGGCATCAGGGTAGAAACTGGGAGACCATGAGGTCTAGTCCAGCCTTGGGCACGAAGCCAGTTGGGTGACCTTGGGCCAGTCACCCTCTCTCAGCCCTAGGAAGGAAGCCAGGGCAAACCACTTCTGAAAAACCTTGCCAAGGAAACTGCAAGGACTTGTCCAGGCAATTGCCAGGAGTCAAGATTGACTTGAAGGCGCGTGCAGAGACGCACACACAAAAGCAGGTAATGTACTTGTAAAGCAATTTGCTGTGTTTAGCCAACCTTGGTTGATTGCAAAAAGCTAAGCAGACTTGAATTTGGTTAGAATTTGGAAGAAAGAGCACCAGGAATGTTCATGACCATATGCTAGACTAGGAAATTGAAAAAATATTCCAGAAGAAGGAAAGCAAGTCCTTTCCAAATTGTGGTCAAGAAAACTACAGGGCTGAAATTACAGGCCCTGAGGTCACCTTGAAGGAGTTGTGACCTTTTTAACTGGTGTTGTACCTGTGGCAGCCTCTTTGCAAATGCACAAGGCTCCTTCAAGAGCCATTTTGCAAAGGCACCTACTACTTGTTCATACAAGTCTAAATCAGCCCCCAAAGATTAGAAGTCTTTATTATATCGCTTTTTTTTTTTACTTGTTTCAAAAAATATTCCAAGCATGAGCTCCTTTCTCCAAAATAATCTTATATAACAAGAAAAAAGCATTTTGCTTTATTTCTGCATTTCAGTTTGAAGAACAATTTATAGAAACGAATGAAGATTTGGAGAAGTTGCGCAGTGGTAAGTCAGGATGCAAATTTTAAATAAGATGTATTATCTGCTTTATGATGAGATCAATGCAAGCGTTTATAAACCATCTGCTTTCGGTGAATTAAATGATGTCATCTGAATTGTAAAGATATATTTGGAGCTTGTACAGCTTGAGTGTTTCTAGACCCAGTCCGAAGCGGTGAGTTTTTAGTATTACTTAGCTCCAAGGAGGGCTCCATATATCTTATCTGCACACTTGGATCATCAGTAGAAGGATTGTTCCTACAATGTGGGGTGACTTGGGTGGCTCTCAGAAAAAGAGCCCTTCCTATGATAAGTTTGATTAGTTTTCCTCAGCCAGCAAAATTGTCCCTAAGATTGCTGGGAATTGAAGTCCAGAAATTAATTAATATTAATTACATATTATCCTGGTTATACAGACTAATATGGAAATGGAAGTTGCTCTGTTAAGATGTGCTCTCTATCCTGAGGCTGTAATGCTTGCATTTTTAGTTCATGGGTTTTTAAAATTGTAGAACATATTAAATAGGCTAGTCAAATTAATCTGAAATATTCAACTAACATTTTTAGTTTTATTTAAATTGAATTTCCTGAATTACTCTTCCTCTTTTTTACCTTTCAACAGATGGATGGCTACTTTTTCAACAAGTGCCCATGGTGGAAATTGATGGAATGAAGTTGGTGCAAACGCGAGCCATTCTCAGCTACATTGCAGCAAAATACAATCTTTATGGGAAGGATTTGAAGGAGAGAGCACTGTATGGGATTATGGCTGTGTTGATTAAAATCTAGAATTTATTACAGACTTGTAACAAATATAGTGTGTAATACAGATCTAGTTTGGGAAGTAACTCTATATTGTGTAGGAGCATTCAGAGAAATACTGTAGCTGTGGATGCCAGATCTGGACTGCAATAATGCAGATAATCACTAGATGGTGACAAAGAGACGGATCTTTTTGTAGCTGTTTGCTCCCATCTGGTGGTCAGTCCAATATTTGCAACCCAGATCCGGTAATCTTATTAGGGTTAAACCTAATAAACCCTAACCCTAATCCTGATAAGACCTTTCATTTGGGCTTCAACAATTTGTTGAATAAATGTGTAGTTATTTAGTGACGTTGCAGTGAAACACAATAGGAAAACAATGGTTAAAAGAGCAAACTGTAAATGTATGTAGCAAAACTTTATTTTTTTGAAAGCGTTCCTCTGAAGCAGGAATGGGGAACTTACGGCCTTCCTGGTGTTGATGAATGAAAACTTTCAGCTTCTCTCAATTTTGGCTATGCTGGCTGGAGTGTTTCATTTGAAGGTCAGCAACATTATAACAACTGCAAGTTCCCCTCCTGCACAATGATCTTAGAAAAATATGTTTTATTTATTTATTTATTTTTATTCACATTTGAGGAAGATGTTTTAAATACTTCTTCGTCACTTTTAGCTCGAAATGGTCATCTTTAATGCATTAATACATGCAAAGTGGAACCAGGCTTTGGGTTGTACACATTAACTAAGAAGGAATCGGGTTTGATTGATTAGCCATTTTCTTTTTCAAAAGTAACAACTAATTTTAAATAATTTTTAGAGAGGTCAAGATAGTGGACATTTGTCCATATAGTCACCTGGGGGACAATTCAATGGCACTTAATTTTTAAAATATTTTCTCTATCCACATTAACCATTTCTTTCAGGATTGACATGTATGTAGAAGGAACCACTGATCTGATGGGAATGATTATGACGTTGCCTTTCCAGCCTGCTGAAAATAAAGAAAAGCAAAGGGCCCTGATTATTGAAAGAATCACAACCAGATATTTTCCAGCATATGAGAAGGTACATGATAATGAGGCAGGTGCTTTAGAACTTGCCTTCCCAAGGTATTTCCCTCCAGTTGCGTTGGACTAAAGCATCTATAATCCCCATGGTTGTACTGGCTAAGGATGATGGGGGTTGTAATCCAGTGTGTCTGGTACCTACCAGCTTGGAGAAGGTTGGCTTAGAATATACACCTGCCAATGTATGTCTCCCAAGATGTAAAGATGGGACAAGGCAGAATTTTCTCTCAAAGCAATGGTCAGTGGGCTACTAACTTTCAACAGTTTGGAACCATCCATTATATAGCACCAGCAGCCAAAGCAATTATTTTGCTCCTGTTGCAAATATTGCATCTATTAGAAACGTACCAGGGAAGCTTATCTGTCAAACGTGGGTGTTTCTCAACCTTGGTAACTTTAAGATGTATGGACTTCAACTCCCAGAATTCTCCAGCCAGTGCTGGCTGGAGAATTCTGGGAACTGAAGTCCACACATCTTAATGTTACCAAGGTTGAGAAATACTGGTCTAAAGTAATAAAAAAAATACATATTATGCGTATTGAATAACAAGCAAATGACTAATAGAATGCCACATCCTGTCTTGCCAATTATGCAGCTAAAAGGTCTCCAGTTTGTGCTGTCTTTTGCAATCTTAGGGTCCAAATACCTTTATCTTAACTTGGTTTCTTCATGTGTTGCAGATTTTGAAAGACCATGGGCAAAATTTTCTTGTTGGTAACCAGTTTAGTTGGGCAGATGTCCATCTCCTGGAAGCTATCTTAATGGCAGAAGAATTCAAGTCTGATGTTCTCTCTACATTTCCTCTGCTGCAGGTAAAGACACTATTAAAAGCAAAACTCTGGTAATTTGCAAGCTCTATTACTACAGGGTAAGGCAATCTGTGTTTTCACAGAGTGCAAATACAGAGGCTAGATTGTCAGCCACTGTTGGGGACTATTTTAAAAGAACCAGTACAGCAACCAGCATCTCATGAAGATGATGATGATAATAATGGCTTTGACATCTGACATGCCATGTAACGAATGAGTATGAATTTCTATCCCTTTGCTTTATATGGATGATATGTAGCCTTTCTGAAATGTAGGGATTCCCAATCACTGCCCATGCTGCTACATGGCGCATGCTTGGCAAAGAACACCATCTCTTCCAAGTACAGCCAATCTATCCAGTCTGCTCATTTCAGATACTAATACTTCCCTCCTTACATGAGGTTCGGGGATGTGCATCACAAATTGGTATATCACTTGGGTATTCCTAAAGAAATAATATGAAATAATATGATCCTGTAGTGAGTGATCCCACCTAGTATTGTGGCCATCACCAGAACTTTTTGGAGCACTTCTGTATAGTCTATTAATGTGACTTAGTGGAATGTGGGGAGATTAGACTCAAAATATAATGTTTAGAAGAGGCATACAAATAAGATGCGTTGTTCAAATTCAAAAGATCAACTGAAGCACGTCTCTATACTGACTAAAATGACAAGCTTGCTGTTGATTTCCTCTCTATTCTGTAACCCTCTCCCAGTCACCAACTCATCAGACAGGAGGTGCTCTGGCTATTAGATGATGATGGTGATGATGATGATGACGACAGATTCCATCTATGTAGACCTCATGGGGGTGGGAAACAATGTTTTTCCATTGTTGCTCCATCCCTGTGCAGTGGAAATCACTTTGGATTTCAGATTTGGTACTCAGGATGTCAGGTGGGATTGGTTTCTTTTTATTGGTTTACTGGTGGTATGTATCTAGCAATGTTTATATTGTAAACCACTGGGAGCTGTTGGAGCAGAGCAGATATGTCAAATATCCGCTGCATCCCATGGAGGCCTTCTGGGGGATGCCATACAGTGGTGAGGACAAGATCCCGCAAGATTATGATAAGTAATAGGATGTCAGACGTTTGCAGTTTTTAACTACATTCCATAACTTGTTAATTCAATCTTCCTTCTCAGTTTAAGATCATGTAGTCAGTTTTTTTGCAATCTAAGATGCGCAGGATTTTGAATCTGTTTCATGAAGACCTAGAACTTAAGCATGATTTCTTGATTTCTTTCTTAAATGTGTATATTGCCTGATCCACCAGACTCCACACTGGTAGATCTCCCCAATTTAGTTGCAGAAGGACCTTGTGGCACATTTCATCAATACTATTTCTGGTTTATGTTTCTTTGAAGTTGCAAACAAATATATATGGTATAAATTTAAAAGATCCAATAACACAAAGTTCCTTTTAAAATGCGCCCACTCACCTGCATACAACATGAAGTATCACAGCTCTTTGATACTTTGCCAGATTCTTTCTATGCAGCCTAGCTTGTACTGCAGGTTGTTCCTGTATAGATTGCTCAATATTTAAGCCACCTGAATAAAGATCAAATAATGAGGAATTTACAATCCAATATTTAATTGGACAACAAGGATGCTGGCCTGAATCCTAAACTGAGCTTCTGTGACTGGAAGTGGAGGGCTGAGCAATATGTCTAGTTCCTCCTTCCTCTGAAGCTTTCTGCACTATTTCCAATGGTTGCCCAACCATCAGGTGATTTGGTGAGCAAAGGGGAGTGTAGAGAGAAGACAGAAGAGGGAGGGAAGGAAGGAAGAAGAGAAAGAGATTTACAGTTCTCTTTCCAATGACTTCTTGGCACTCTAAATCCTGGAAGGGAGTAATGGTTGGGGGCTTCCATCAATAACTTCCAAGATAGATTGCAAAGCAAGTGTCAGGAACTATAAACCTACATATTTTCTGTCATACATGATTCTTAGCATTGCAACACCAGTTATTAGGGAGCCACAATCTTTATTTGAAGAATCTGTTTCTGCAGAGGAATTATATTTACGCCAGGAACCCACCAATTTTATTGTATAGATTTGGAGGAGGAGGGAAAAGGAAAACCAAATCTCACAGTATTTCTGTAATCACAGCCAGTTCCTCAAGCTTGTACACAGTAATGGTATGACAGACAATGCATTATTCTGCTAATTTCTACTTACTTTTCAGAACATTTTGAAATTAAGATTTCTGGCCTTACCCATTGTCATGTTTCTGTGCAATACTCTGTAATGTTAGCATTTAAAACTTTTAATACTTCAACATTTAATGATTGCTAGACTTACGTTTTCATTTTATATCTAGAAATACTTAGCATTTTCATGCTGTAAACCTTTCTCCTCCCTCCCTCCCTCCCTTCCTCTAGGCTTTCAAGACAAGAATAAGCAATATCCCTACAATAAAGAAATTCTTGCAGCCTGGAAGTCAAAGGAAAGCCCCATTTGATGACAACATGCTTATGCAAATCAGAAAGATATTCAACATCTGAAGGCTTTTGCAAATACTGGCATACTTCTGCTAACTTACATTTTTTCCCAATATATTGCTAATTATAACTATTGTTGGAAAGATAAATAAAATAGCAATTCCTCTTAGTGTTATAATTGCAATCCTTTTGAAACAATGAAAAATCAGTAATTTACATGAAAAATATTTTTGAAGGCCTTCTGTCTAAAATTATAGTGTATAATGCTGTTTTTTTACATGGGCAGATACAGAAAGTAAGATCTACCTTACCCAAGCATGTACATTATCAGTTTGTAACTTAACAAAAATCACGGATTCCTTACTCGTAACATCATTATCCCTTGCCTTTGTAGTTGTTCCTATGCAGTAATAACTTAAGAAAATTATCCTTTGTAATGATTAACAACTCAATAAATTTCTCCTTTACCACTTAATATGTATCCTGTGCATGTCTATCTAGAAGTTAATCCTGTAGATTTACAGCAATGCATTCTATTTGTTGGTATCCTCTGACCATTTGCCACCTCTGTATATAGTTTGCTAATTTATTTGTGACGTATCTATACCTGTCACAGCAGATGGCAGCATCTAGCTGACTTTGACTGATCTTGAAAAAGGCTTAAACAAGCAGATGTGGTTAGCATTTGGATGGGAATCCACCAGGAAATATTAGGGTTGTAAGAGAGTCTGGGAAGTAAACAAAAAACAAAAAAACCCGAAAAGGCAATGGTGAACCCCTTCTGTAATGTTGCTAAGAAAAGTACATGGATGGGTTCTTGTATTCACCAAGAGTCTACCTCAACTTGAGGGAGTCATTATTTATGCTTAGATTTTGACCAAGCTGATTTTGTTCTATAATTTATGATGTATCTACAAACCAATGTAAGCATAATTAGCATTCCCCTCAAACATGAACTTCATCCACAAGCTAAGTTGGACTAACATCTTTGCTGGATGGTGAGCACTGATTTAAAGTAAATACATCGGAACTATTATTTACACCAGTGATATCAGGAGGATTACTCATAGTAGATTATCCTCGGCAGTAGAAACTACATTGCTGAAAACAATTTAAAAATAGATGAATTTTAACCTCTCCATTTTGGGGGATCCTTGCTAAACAAACCTTTGGCTTGGTCAGGTAATGACAACAGAAAAATACATATATTGTATTTTGTCCCACCCCATCTATAACTTAGCATTTTTTTCTAGTCACTTATCTTATTCAAATCACTTTAATACTGAAAGTTAAAAACTTACAAGAGAGTTTATATCCAAAATATTAAAGTGTTTTTATTTTTAATATGGAATTTGTTAACTTTTGCATTTCAAGACACAAGCAAGACTTGTTTCAAAGCTAAAAATGTTTTTAGTATTATATGAAATTAATACAGCATTTATTAATCTTTTAACAGAACTGAAATATGATATAATCCATATAAGTAAGTTTGTATTACTGCATACCTGGATCTATGAAATTATCATCATCCAGGACTGGGTATGACTTTATTAGGTGTCACTATATATGACAAACCTGAGTTTTAAAAGTCCTGTGGCTTCTATTCATTCCAGGGGGAATAAAGCATAAATTGAAATCTCATCCCACAAATTAAAATAATAATTTAAAGACCAAGTCAGTCACTGGTCTGAACAAAGACATAAGCCAACAAAATGTTATTTAAAACATTAAAGAATGCAGCCCCACATACATAAGGAATGAATGCAATTCTGAGTCCATGAGGAATAACACCGCCTTTATATCATAATTATCACAACAAAAATGGTTGATCTTTCAGAAGGGACATTCATAATTCAAAGAACCTTTTGTCTGATTGCATGGAAATCTGGAAGAACTCCTTCTCTCATATGAGCCGGAAGACAAGTCTCAAAACCATTACCAGGCTATGTTCAGAAAAACAAAAGAAGAAAATTAAGAAATGAGTGATCAGTTAAGACATGAACAGTTTTACATTTTCATACTCAGGGTTGTATGTACAGAGAGACAGAGAGAGAGACTGCTCTGAATGGAGAGCTTCAACAGGAAACAGGGACCTTTGTGAAGTTTCACCCTCAAAAAGGTTTGGAGTGAAACATGTTGCACATCTCTACTGCAGATATCCCTTAAAAGCAGGCTTCCCCACTTGGTGCAGCTCATGTATATTGGGCCTCAACCACTATAATCTAAGCTTGCTTGAACCTTGCCTGGGAATGATAGCGTCCAAAGTCCAATATTTGAAAGCGTAACTTCAACTCTTAAAGATAATGTTCTTGTGTAATAGTTCCTTTTGAAGTCAGGAGACTGAATTCCACAACCACAACCTCTCTCTCGCTCTCTCCACACACACACCCACACACACACACACACTCTTTCCCTATTTCAGTGTGAAATAGAATGCTCCAGAATGTAAACTCTGACATTCTCAAATAGCATAATTAGAGCTGGATGAAAACAAGCATTCAGTCATCTATAAACTGATTCTATGTTAAGGAGCCTCATTTGCACCCAGAAACTCTTTCACAATATTTAAAATCACATGCTGTACAATTGTACACAACTGTAATCCTAAGTACGCCCCACTGTAGTCACTGAGGACTAGGTAAGAAACTTTGGATGGCATCTTAAAGCAGAAGCAGTTTACCTTAGACCTGCTATGATTCCAGCTGGCATTAGTTTCTTGGTCCTTTTAAACCTCACTCCCATTATAGTGGTAAGCATAAACGCTGTGACTGCAGGCAAACATACAAAATGTTTATTTTACCAAATGTTATGCTGTGTTTCAACTATATTCTCACAATAGTTTACAGCAACAAATTAAAATCACTCCAAATTAAACAGATAGCTCTTGAAACAAAAAAGCACTCAAATATCATAAAATTCTAAAACACAAGAGCACTTTTTTCTACACTGTCACCATCTTATAATTAGAAATCTTTATACATACTCCAAGACAGACTGTGTCTTTGTGCCTATAACCTGAATGCCGAACCTGTATCTTTCTACCTCAACAATAGAGATCTCTAGAGTTCTTTTTCCATAAATATTTTCCTAAATACACAACCCACTCTGGCAGCAAAATATATCTTACAAAGTTTCACTAATGAAACACAGAAATAGCTCATGTACCTTTCAAAGAATGTGTTTTGATCAGTAACCTGATTTTTTTAATATGAGATTTTCAGAATATATAGTATATATTTGCTTATTTACCCTGATTTCAACAGATTGGGGTAGAGGCGGGGGCTATGTTTACTCTCCAGAAACAGAAAGGCATAGAGTTTGAATGGATCAGATGAGACATGGGATCTGAGGAGCACCAAAGGAGGTGCGTAGGCACAATAATGCCTGCCCCAGATCTAGCATGCCGCGATGTTTAATGACACTGAATGCATATGATCAAACCTGTGTTTTACAGGAACATTTTATTGATTTTTTAAGGCTTAGATTTCTAAGGGCTGGTTTATATGCTACACAAAATACAGGATGCTATCTCATCAACGGTTCCAAAAGGCACAGGAAGTTCTAATAGGCCCAACAAGATACTTTACCTAATGATCTCTGGGTAAAGATGGCCAACTAAGAACAGTCGGCTGGGTCCCCACATTGTGCTACAACATGAGGTCTGACTGAATAAAATATAGTTGGGAATGTTCCCACCATACTAAGCCATAAACCATGGTAAGCAATCAGAACGGGCAGGCCCACAATGTATTCTAAGACAAGACAAAACAAAACATCTTGTTGTGTGAATCAGACACATTTTGGCAGAGTCATGTGAATATTCTATACTATATGTGATATACTATACTATATCAATTAAATGGTAGCAGAGTGTCTAACGTGAATGCATAGAGTGCATAACCTAGTTTCCAACTTGATAGCTGTCAGAAATATGGGTCGATAAGTTCTATCATCTCACCTAATCTAGCCAATAAGCAAGCTGACTGAGAATGATAAAACATTCAATTCCACGTTTTACAAAGGTTGCTTTATGCACATGACAGAGAAATTCTCAAAGTTCCAGTGAATACATGCACAAGCACAAACTCCCTGCCAATTATTGTTTCCTCATCCTTAAAGAGCATAGATCAATTATCTCATCTCAATCTTACACATCGAAACTAAATGCAATATAGATACAATTTAGAGGCAGCAACAAGCTTTTATTCTGCATGTTCTGTTATTACAAATAATGTATATGATGGCAGCTAGTTTTCAGTTTATGATTATTCAGATAATAACCCCAATATATAGTGAAAGTACACTGAAAATTGTTTCTGTTAAACAGAAGTAGCCTTTCTTTCAAAGAAGTAGGATACTCACATAATGATATCTTTACATCTTTGGGATCATGAGTTACCCAATATGCTCCATAACAAGCCAGCAAGCCAAAGAAAAGGCCAGCAACCAATGAGATTTTACTGCCTGAAATAAAGATGATATATATAAGTTAAAAAAAAAAAGTCTTACACTATCTCTTTAAGAATACATCTGTTTTTGAAAGATGTGACTTTGATTTTTGGAACCTGAAAAATGTATTTAATTATTTGGCATATTTTCACCCTGTTCTTCTGTAAACAGGTAATAAGAGCACAAAAGGGACAATAATGATGCAAAGTGACAAAATTTGACAAAGATCCTCTCTCTCTCTCTCTCTGGAAAAAGTTACCTAGAAACAAGAGTTTCATTTCTTATATATGAATGGCTAAGATCCAAAGAATAACATGGGACATACAGTGTATAAAGGCTCTTGAGACCTCTGGCTATGCCAATGCAGCATTAGCAGCTATTCTGAATTAAACTCCAACTTACTGAAACAAACTTTCAGGGATGAAACTCAAGTGTGCAGTGAGAAGCTGGGCAAGGGACAGACTCATTCTGAAGCTTCTATGCCCTTGTATCCCAATCACTTTCTTTTCTGCACTCTGTTCCATAACTGTCCCAACTTTCCATTATTCTTTGATACCTGCTCCAGGGAAATTCAAGCAGGGTTTTCAGATTTACAAAAGGTAGAGCAAATATACAGCATGCAGCCAATCTATTAAGACACATGACATTCCTGTAATCTAATATTGCCTACCATGGGATTCTCTCACCATGGCCTCCTGTTTCTTTCCAGATCTATTCCAATTCTGCTAAAGAAAGCCATTCTGTCAGTGAGAGGGAAGAATTAGATACTATCTATTAGTTTTCAGTTGAAAAATGATGCAGCTGCACTAAGAAAATATTAAAATGTAAGGAACAGAATGTTTTTAGATTGGAGAACATTTTTTAAAATCATTATTAAATACATTTTTCTTTTTCTTCAAAAAGAGAAGCAAGAATCCCCCTCTCCTCACAGGGCCTTTAACATTCCAGAAAAAGAAACTCTGAAACAAAACTTTATTCTACTCTCGTTAACGGTGTATTTTTAAGGTTTGAACTATGTGTAACATTTCTTTTTTTAAAAAAAAAAAAACCCACACTATTTTAGAATTTTAGTGCCTTTTATGTTTTAATATCTTACACACTTAGTCTAGCAATTTGGTCATTTAGCTTTTAAGTTGTTTTAGATTTTTTTTCAAATATCCACATTTATATTGATTTCGTTCAATCTATCTTAATATGTCCAATCTTTTTACAAATGTTCTTTTTATCTTCTTATGAGCAATGTATTGCAAAAAATGTATAACTTAACAAAAATATTTGAGAAAATGCAGAAGAAACAGCAGAAAACAATTACATCATTTTCTCTATCATACAATTCCACGATTACCTTTGCGAATATATCCTACGATACCTCCAAGAGCCACGACCATACCATAACCAAAGCCAATCCAATCCACACTCATGGTGAAAAGTCTGGAGGACAAAACAGAATATTAAAGTGAACACACTAAAACTAAATTCAAGAGGAGGGAGGAGACAATGATTTTGTCACAACGGAAGCAGTTTGTAAATGACTATGGCTATCTCAAGAAGGTCAGAACTGGTTAGTACATGAATGGGAAGCCACTAAGAAATCCCAAGGCTAGATGGAAAATTTAACACATCTGGAAAAAGGTGACAGGAAATCATTTTCACCCTGTTACCAACAAAACAACATGGATATGGCAATGTAATTACCAGGAATCAAACTCAACAGGAGAGAAACTAGAGCAGGATTTTAGGAAATGTTCTAACAACCATGCAGCAGTAAAAGTGAAACCAGATCTTCTGAGAAAACAGGCCAGAGTAGCAGGAGGTATTAATTAACTCCCTGGTTTATGTAAGGATTAGAGTAAATAGATAGCCTTACCCTGTGCCCAATTTTGCAATAAAAGATGGTACAATTCTTTCCCGGCTTAATGCCAGCTTTCGTGCTCTAGCTAAACAGATAAGTTCTCAAACTGCCAGCCCTCCAAGAATTCTTTTACACCCAAAGGGCATTGTCTATTCCTGCTGCACTTTGAGTGTATTCAGCTAGGTCCAGGCACATTATCTGATGCCCAAAGAGGTCCATGCACTTCTTTTGCCCCTTTGGGCTTAGCTCTTCAGGACTTTATTCCAAGTCCCATGGGTTTACATCATGAAGCTGGCATTAGGAAGATGGAATCCAGTGCCTGGATACATATTTTCACATATTGGACCAAACTGCTCTTCTCCCCAGTAGGTCTAATTCCCTGGGTTCTTTTTAATAACTTTTTTCTCCTCTTGGGCCAAGGCGATGCATATAAAACTGGATCTTTGGGGTTTCTCCTTAACTCAAATGCACATGCTAGGGCAAGAATGTACAATTAAGCCCTGAGCTCCCTTTCTAAAGATGTATTTCTAAGTAACCCTTGTACCCCTTATAGACCTTCCAGGTATTTAAACCAAACTACTGTCCCCAAATTAAGGAGGGCCTTAACCTTGGCATGGTTTAATGTACTTCCATCAGCAGTTTTAGAGGGGAGATAGAAGGGCACCCCATTTAAATCCAGACTTTGCCCATGTGGTGAAGGAACCACTGGAACCAACAAACATGTTCATTTTATGCCAACACTCATGAACCATTAACCCCACCCCTATAAATATAATGGTTACTCTGGTTAGTTTTATTTAAATCTTACTTTCAGATGCAAATGATTCTATTTCCTTAAGTATGGTCAAATTTTGTCATATATTATGTAAGATGCACAGCAATCTGAATGATCTGTTTATCTAATTGGTTAATCAATATTAGTTGCATGAATGCAATGTGTTTTATGGACTGGTCATTGCCCCAAGTCCCATGGCTATCTCATGCAATTTTTCAAAATGATAATATTCATATATATGTTAAAAAAAAACCAACTGCTAGTAAGATGGTGTTGTTAAAGCCTAATACAGAAAGTCTCTTAATATCATGGCCTGCTATTATATTAAACCCCATATTCTTGGCTCTTCCTTGACTCTTCTTTCCACTTTAATTCTTGCATATCTGATTGCTTCCAAGCCTTTTGGGATGCTGGTACCTTTATTTCTGCAAATTCCCAGAGTTATATAATGGGAGTGGCCACAGCACTTCCCACTGTAATTTGCTACATGTGACAAAATCAATGACTGCCCTTCAGAGATGGGGTTGGAAAGCTGTTTTCAGACGTCCCAGGAACACTGACTCAGTTCCAACACCAGAAGTGGCAAGATCATAAATGTTAAGGTGCAACCAACAGATGACACTGTAATAAGCAAGGATGTTAAATGACTAGGCTTTGTTTGGCACCTGATGGCTGCCCTGTTTTATTTCTCACAGCACAGCTAATCACAATATCTTCAGTGCTGCTGCCAGATACTCATCAGTTGGGCACTCTGGCTTAATGCACTGTGCAAACTCAGCCAATTATGTTTTATTCAATAAGCCATGGTTAAATCTTGACTTATTGATAAAGTACAAATTAAGCCCAACTCTCCTACAGATCTCAGGATATTTGCCATTTTTGTACTGGGCACCAAGTAGACATCTCATATTTCAAACAACCATAGGAGTCTCACATGCACTTGTATTGACTGCTGCTTCTACTATATGGTTTTTATCTTTGGGGCCTATCCTTGATGTGAACTTGGCAGCCTTTTTCATGAGGGGTGGACCCTTTCTAAGAAATACAGCTGGATCACTTCTAGGGAGCCCTGAAACCCCCATACACAGAACAGACTTACTGATCACATCCCTGAATACCAGGAATGCTGCTTCTGGAGATCAGCACTGATTTACCCACCGGAAGCAGGAAGACAAATTGTGTACATGCCCAAGTGACAAAACAAGAGCTAGTTAACCAGATCTTTTCTGCAAGGCACAAATATTGACTGGATGCGTGCAACCGACTCCTATTCCCCCGGCTTCCAGGCATACTCGAAGCCCCGATTCAAGACGATAAAACCTACGCTTAATTTCTATATGATTGTTCGTCCACAGTGGGCAAATCAGAGCATATCTGCTCAGCTCCCACGCTCTCAGCAACGTCTCGCAATCGCCAAGCAAGCTGGACCCCCATCCCACCCTCCAATGCGGAGAGAAAACAGGCGATCAGCTCTTGGCCACCGCCGTCTCCTCCCTGGGCTGAGCAGCGCCGCTGCAGTCCCGCTCTTCGGGGAGAGGGGCTTCCGGCCGAACTCTCTCTCTCTCTCTCTCTCTCTCTCGCTCTCTCTCCTCCCTCCTCCTCCTCCTCCGTCCCC